ACCTTTTTTTTTTTTTGGTGTTGTGTGTGTGTGTGTGTATTGTGTTCTTCTGTAAAACACTATTTACTTGTGCTTTTAAAGAGGGTTTTACTTCCCATTATTATTATTTTCCCTTTAACACAGATGGCTATATAGTTTTTAAAATGTGTAAAAATATTCAGTACTTTCAACCTACAAATCACATCATACCTTAAAAATAACTAAATGAGCTTACGATAGAATTAAATCCTTCTCCTTCTCCTGACTGATAACACTACTCTTGCCTGCTGGTTTTTATAGACCGCTCTAATGAAAACAATTAAATAATTGCATAAATCAATTAATTCATTAAACATTAATTTAGTTCATTGTGTGTTAAGGGTTTGATTATACTTAAAACACATAACACAAGCACTAATGTTTAATAGTATTAAGTATTTATTGTTTGTTTTTAAAAATGGTATTTCTAAAAAAAAGTTTTGTGAGTTTGTTGTGAGTTCTTGATGCTTGTACACGTGTTCACCAGCAGGTGTCGCCAGCGCGTGCTGTTTCAAGTGCTTCGAATCATTGAATCATTTTTCGAAGCAATTGGTTCAATGCTTCGAAAAGCTTCGTTTCTCTCATCACTACTTTTGATTCAAAAAACCTGGATTGCTCTGATCCCAGCAGAAGGGTGCATTTCAGGAACAAAAATGTAATAAAACTTTAAAACAGGTCCAAAAAATACAACATGTGTGTAATATATCCCCAAACAGCTGTCAATATCAAACAAAAATATATTTAATTTAAAGTTTTTTTTGTTTTTTGATCACTGATTGTAAACTACATTGGCACAATCATCAGAGATGGACCAGTCAGAAGTAGTGGCATTTTTTCCCCCATCATCACTGTTCAGCATTCAGCGCTCACTGCAGTTATTGCTGTTTCTTTCTCACATTCATTCATTTATTAGTGAATTAAGAGTCATTCTGGATTAAAGCGGTCTCTTCCAAAATGGATCATTCTGTCATCATTTACTCTCATTTCACTCCACACCTGCGTGACGTCTGCAGAATGAAAAGGCATCATTTTAAATAATGTTCTTCTCAATGCAATAACATGAGAACACAAGACGCGTGGACAGTGTGTAAGATGTCTTTAATAATTGCTTTAATATTTTTAGACCGGTTCAGATATTCTGCTTGTTTAGTATTCTGTAAACGTGATCTTTTGATTCTTGATTGATGAAAGCACACACTCTCAGTCAAGGCTGCTGATGTGATGTGACGTGCAGCAGACAGGTGCAGTGAAGGACACACACACACACACACACACATGAACAGACACTCTGACACATGAATGAATGAATGCTGCGCAGATGAAGATGTTCCCATGGAAACTGGACAGTCAGCACATCTCTGCTCTAGTCAAACTCACACACACCTGTAACTCACATGCTCAGCTGACTGTGTGTGTGTGTGTGTGTGTGGAATACCCCAGCATCATTTTCATTTATGCATTTGTCAGAATATTTTATCCAAAGCAGCTTATGTTGCACAGACTCTCTCATACACACACACACTGACCGAGAGACACAACACAACACTGACGGTCAGTTATCAATGATGCTGAGAGGAATTAAGCAGACAAACATACAACGTGATCTTTTGATTCTTGATTGATGAAAGCACACACTCTCAGTCAAGGCTGCTGATGTGATGTGACGTGCAGCAGACAGGTGCAGTGAAGGACACACACACACACACACACACACATGAACAGACACTCTGACACATGAATGAATGAATGCTGCGCAGATGAAGATGTTCCCATGGAAACTGGACAGTCAGCACATCTCTGCTCTAGTCAAACTCACACACACCTGTAACTCACATGCTCAGCTGACTGTGTGTGTGTGTGTGTGTGTGTGTGGAATACCCGAGCATCATTTTCATTTATGCATTTGTCAGAATATTTTATCCAAAGCAGCTTATGTTGCACAGACTCTCTCATACACACACACACTGACCGAGAGACACAACACAACACTGACGGTCAGTTATCAATGATGCTGAGAGGAATTAAGCAGACAAACATACACAGACACACAGAGACAGACAGACGGTTTGCTCGGTTGATGTAATCCATCTAATGGCTGCTGTGAATTGTGTGTTTGATGACAGATCGAGCAAATAAACCAGCATGTGAGAGCTGCCAGATACTCTGATTGAGCCACTCAAACACACACACACACACTCACACTCTCTCACACACACACACACACACACTCTCTCTCACACACACTCACACTCTCTCTCACACACACACACTCACACTCTCTCACACACTCACACTCTCTCTCACACACACACACTCACACTCTCTCACACACTCACACTCTCTCTCACACACACACACTCACACTCTCTCACACACTCACACTCTCTCTCACACACACACACTCACACTCTCTCACACACTCACACTCTCTCTCACACACACACACTCACACTCTCTCACACACTCACACTCTCTCTCACACACACACACTCACACTCTCTCACACACTCACACTCTCTCTCACACACACACACTCACACTCTCTCACACACTCACACTCTCTCTCACACACACACACTCACACTCTCTCACACACTCACACTCTCTCTCACACACACACACTCACACTCTCTCACACACTCACACTCTCTCTCACACACACACACTCACACTCTCTCACACACTCACACTCTCTCTCACACACACACACTCACACTCTCTCACACACTCACACTCTCTCTCACACACACACACTCACACTCTCTCACACACTCACACTCTCTCTCACACACACACACTCACACTCTCTCACACACTCACACTCTCTCTCACACACACACACTCACACTCTCTCACACACTCACACTCTCTCTCACACACACACACTCACACTCTCTCACACACTCACACTCTCTCTCACACACACACACTCACACTCTCTCACACACTCACACTCTCTCTCACACACACACACTCACACTCTCTCACACACTCACACTCTCTCTCACACACACACACTCACACTCTCTCACACACTCACACTCTCTCTCACACACACACACTCACACTCTCTCACACACTCACACTCTCTCTCACACACACACACTCACACTCTCTCACACACTCACACTCTCTCTCACACACACACACTCACACTCTCTCACACACTCACACTCTCTCTCACACACACACACTCACACTCTCTCACACACTCACACTCTCTCTCACACACACACACTCACACTCTCTCACACACTCACACTCTCTCTCACACACACACACTCACACTCTCTCACACACTCACACTCTCTCTCACACACACACACTCACACTCTCTCACACACTCACACTCTCTCTCACACACACACACTCACACTCTCTCACACACTCACACTCTCTCTCACACACACACACTCACACTCTCTCACACACTCACACTCTCTCTCACACACACACACTCACACTCTCTCACACACTCACACTCTCTCTCACACACACACACTCACACTCTCTCACACACTCACACTCTCTCTCACACACACACACTCACACTCTCTCACACACTCACACTCTCTCTCACACACACACACTCACACTCTCTCACACACTCACACTCTCTCTCACACACACACACTCACACTCTCTCACACACTCACACTCTCTCTCACACACACACACTCACACTCTCTCACACACTCACACTCTCTCTCACACACACACACTCACACTCTCTCACACACTCACACTCTCTCTCACACACACACACTCACACTCTCTCACACACTCACACTCTCTCTCACACACACACACTCACACTCTCTCACACACTCACACTCTCTCTCACACACACACACTCACACTCTCTCACACACTCACACTCTCTCTCACACACACACACTCACACTCTCTCACACACTCACACTCTCTCTCACACACACACACTCACACTCTCTCACACACTCACACTCTCTCTCACACACACACACTCACACTCTCTCACACACTCACACTCTCTCTCACACACACACACTCACACTCTCTCACACACTCACACTCTCTCTCACACACACACACTCACACTCTCTCACACACTCACACTCTCTCTCACACACACACACTCACACTCTCTCACACACTCACACTCTCTCTCACACACACACACTCACACTCTCTCACACACTCACACTCTCTCTCACACACACACACTCACACTCTCTCACACACTCACACTCTCTCTCACACACACACACTCACACTCTCTCACACACTCACACTCTCTCTCACACACACACACTCACACTCTCTCACACACTCACACTCTCTCTCACACACACACACTCACACTCTCTCACACACTCACACTCTCTCTCACACACACACACTCACACTCTCTCACACACTCACACTCTCTCTCACACACACACACTCACACTCTCTCACACACTCACACTCTCTCTCACACACACACACTCACACTCTCTCACACACTCACACTCTCTCTCACACACACACACTCACACTCTCTCACACACTCACACTCTCTCTCACACACACACACTCACACTCTCTCACACACTCACACTCTCTCTCACACACACACACTCACACTCTCTCACACACTCACACTCTCTCTCACACACACACACTCACACTCTCTCACACACTCACACTCTCTCTCACACACACACACTCACACTCTCTCACACACTCACACTCTCTCTCACACACACACACTCACACTCTCTCACACACTCACACTCTCTCTCACACACACACACTCACACTCTCTCACACACTCACACTCTCTCTCACACACACACACTCACACTCTCTCACACACTCACACTCTCTCTCACACACACACACTCACACTCTCTCACACACTCACACTCTCTCTCACACACACACACTCACACTCTCTCACACACTCACACTCTCTCTCACACACACACACTCACACTCTCTCACACACTCACACTCTCTCTCACACACACACACTCACACTCTCTCACACACTCACACTCTCTCTCACACACACACACTCACACTCTCTCACACACTCACACTCTCTCTCACACACACACACTCACACTCTCTCACACACTCACACTCTCTCTCACACACACACACTCACACTCTCTCACACACTCACACTCTCTCTCACACACACACACTCACACTCTCTCACACACTCACACTCTCTCTCACACACACACACTCACACTCTCTCACACACTCACACTCTCTCTCACACACACACACACACTCTCTCTCACACACACACACACTCTCTCTCACACTCATTTACTACATAGTAACATTCCATAGACTTCTATTGTTTTATATGGAGCTAACAATAAATACTGTCATCTAAGCCTCAATGAAGTCTGACTGTGTTTTATATCACATTTGTATCTGATGTTTTCACAGATGAGGACATCATGGCCACAAATGGAGATTTTGTAAGACTAATCTCACTCCCAAAGTCTCATTCTTGTTTTGTAAAGAAATTTTTACAAAAGAAAACATTATGTAATGTTACTGTTGTGAGTGTTTTTTTGGCTATCAGTAATATGAAGAATGACCTGATCTGAGACTGTATGAAGGGTTTTGCTAGTTTTAGTGCATTTTGGATGTGAAATAACTGCTGGGCCCAGATGAAAACTGGTTAGAAGAATAGTGTGAAGGGTTTTGATAAAGAGTGTATTGAGATATTATATTATAATTATATTAACAAAAGTTATTACATTAACATCACTGTAGGTCAATCCAAGAGACTTAAATTTGTCTTTTTTTATTTATTATTGTTTTTAACTATAGGCTATATATGAAACCCAGAAATTAAGTAACTTTACTTTTACCTTTTATTGCATTATTTACTTTCAGTTTATTTTCTTATGTTTGTCAATGCATTTTATTAAAAAAAAAAGGTGAGTTTATTCGATGCAAATTTGATTTCCATATTTTTCCTTCATTTTTCTGCTTGTGTAAGTGCCGTGTGCCGTAGCAGTGATGTTGATGGTGTGTGTGTGTGTGTGTGTGTGTGTGTGATGTGAGACATGAGGAACACAGACACATCAACTGCAGCACCATCAGCCAGAGCCGCAGCCAATCGCGAGCCTGCTTTCGCGTGACGTCACTGCATTGTATTCTAAATTCATAAATCTTCTTGATCTCTCGCTCTGTGTGCCGCACTGGCTGCTGCTCGTCGCGTCCTGAATGTAAAGTGTGTCCTCTGCTCTGCTCTGCTCTGCTCTGGAGCACCGATGGCTAAAAAGGCTGATCTGTCTGAGTGGCTCCTGCTTCTCTCTCATCCTGACCTCACTGAGACGATCTGAGCAGTAATGCAATGATTACAGTCCAGCTGCTGACATGCAAACGAAGGTTAATGTTTATGCTCTCGCATCTCTAACGCTGAATCCATCGCAAGAGGGAGACAGTCGCCTTGGTAACAGCAGGATCCGTCCAGCCTCAGCACCAGCTGCAGAGCATCCATCAGTCCTCCAGTGATCCTCACTACTGCAAAACATCAGCAGTCGCCTACAAATACCACATAGGCTAGTTTTAACCAAATAAAACCTCAGATGTGGCAGATCTGAGGTCTGAAAGACTGAGATGAGACTGTCTGGGCCTTCAGCTCCAGATGTTCCTCAGTCACGCATCTGGACTGGAGGAATAGCATCCGCATCGTTCTGGAATTCTGAAGGACTGTGACGCCAAATTACAGACGGATTAGAATCATCCAGCGCCGCTATTCCGTTCGGTGAGACGGTTTTGTTCATCCGTCGTGATTCGGTTTTATTCGCTGTCTGTGTGTGTGTGTGTGTGTGTGTGTGTGTGTGTGTTTGATGGCGCCGGTGGGCTGCGAAACGGGCACCGGGTGTGATGTGAGCGGTTCGGGGACCGGGAGAACAGCAGGGCTGCTGTGGTGCGTCGCTTCTTCGGACCGGATTCACGAAGCATTCGACGGATAAAGGACACCTATGGAAACTGGAGAGCAGAATTTTAGGAAAAAGGCAAGCGAGTGATTTCACGTTTCTTTTTTTTTTTTTTTTCAAATAGGCTATCCGCTTTTTTTCTTTAATAATCGCCAGGATGGATTGATTTCACTCACTGCTGGACCGGCAGCGGTTCGGAAACCTGGAGCCTTCGGTCTCTCCCTCGTGCCCTCAGTAGACAGCTGGATCGGATCGAGAACAGGCCAGATTGAGTGAAGATGAGTTTATCTTTCCCCTGACAGCACAGGCACACCGTCTATTTGACGTCTGCGTTTACATCTGCAATACGTCTACTAGATGTCTTTCGATTTAGAATGTATGTAAAACTGACATCTTACAGATGTTTGTACACAGCAGATGCTTTCCAGATCAGATGTGCTATCTGGGTGGAGTTCATCACTTGATGAGTTGCATTAGTGTTTAAGTGTGTCTTCCTTCTCCTTCAGTTCACAAACCCTCGAGGGCCCTCGCCCCGCTTCTTCTTATTTTTCGTCCCCTTAAATCCACAAATATTTATTTCCTATACATCAAGAGGAAAGGGGGCTCCCCTTTCGTGGAATGCGGCAACATGGGTGTGTTTGAGCGCGGCGTCCAGATGCTGCTGACCACGGTGGGTGCCTTCGCCGCCTTCAGTCTGATGACCATCGCTGTGGGGACGGACTACTGGCTCTACTCGCGCGGGGTCTGCAAAATAAAGACTACTAACGAGAACGAGACCAGCAAGAAGAACGAGGAGGTGATGACCCATTCTGGCCTGTGGAGGACCTGCTGTCTGGAAGGTAGGAGCTCCGAGAAGAACCGCATCTGAAGTTCTGGAGAACATTCATGCAGCTCTTCATAGTTCATCATGCGTATGGCTTGTGCGCTTCTGCTAAGGTCATACGATAGCGCTGTGTGAAAAACAGATCCAAATTTAAGCCATTATTCGCTGAAAATCTATAGAAGGCTTGGAATATTAAACATAAAGTTCCCATGCATGATGGTTCCATAAAGATCCGTTTCCATTGCACTAAAGGTTCGTTATAGTGGAAAAGGGTTCTTTAGACGATTCAAATGTTCTTCACGCTATAAGAAAAGAAAATGGATCGCTTAAAGGTTGTTTGGTGAACCAAAAATGGTTCTTCTGTGGCATCACTGAGCCTTATTTTAAAGAGTGGAGCGCACAAGTCATACAGAGTACATGTGTGAGGCTTTTGTTGTCTTTCTCAGAGCATTCAGATTCTTCCGTATTTTATCTTTGGATGCATTCATACGTTCTGTCCTCATATGTAAACGAGCTTCAAGATGCACTTCCGGTTTGAGCCACAGTGTGACTGACAGCAGACGGCGCGACTCTCTGGAGCTGCAGATGAATGAGTTTCTGATTTAGGTTGGTTCGGGTCAGATCCAGTGCTTGCTGTGTTGAGGGTCTGACTCCGACCGTATCAAATCTGTTTTATTTCCCTGTAGACTAAACTCCTGCGGGATGGTATTAAAGGAAAGGTTGACTCGATGAATAAACATTTGCTGCAAATGTGCGATCCTCAGGCTGTTTTATTTTAGTTAAAAAGGTCGTAATGCTGGATTAGTTTCAGCTTTTGTCTTCTCCAGATGTTAACTGATGGACTGGAGTGCTGTGGATTACTTGTGGATTATTGTGATGTTTTTATCAGCTGTTTGGACTCTCATTCTGACGGCACCCATTCACTGCAGAGCATCCATTGCTGAGACACTGATGCAATGCTACATTTCTACAAACCTGATGAAGAAACACACTCATCCTGATCTCAGACGGCCTGAAGGCGAGGACATTTTTCAGCTAAGTGTCATGTTTGGCTGAACTCTTCCTTTAATTCAGACGTCCTGATTGTAGCTTGTGATTTTCACCCGTGTTTTCCAGTGAACTAATTAGTCCGAAGGAATGCATTAATGAAGGGGGTTGGTAATCCTCTGTAGCTGTGCATCATCTGCCTTTATAGATATCCAAATAACAATCGAAATAACACTTTAGTAAACGTGCAGAACCGTTCCAGCAGAAATGATGCATTGAATAATTCACAGGTTTATTTGCACACTGATGGCTGTACAGCAGCTAATAACAGAATGATCTGTGTTACGCATCCGTCTTTGTTTTAGTGAAGTGTGTCCTAACATGAACCTCACGTTCACATACAGGGCATCATTAGGCGAACCAAACTCTAAAATATGATCCGGCATCCATCTGTAAGTGCAAACAAACTCATCAGCTTTTAATTTTCATGTTCTGTTGTGCATAACACTTTCTGATGACTATTTCTAAATGTCAGGTTATTCTGTATGGCTCTTCTGAAGAGATGATAGATGGATTAAACTCTGAAGAAATGAGCAGAAATGTGAATCAGACTGATCAAATACACATATTACACTGGAAACACATCATTAGTAGAGTCTGATTATTACATCTGAGTAAAGAGATTATTGAAAAAGAAACAAATGTAGGGCAGGACTTGGTTCTTTGCATCAGTTGTTGATTGGCTGTTGAGATGTGGGCGTGGCTCTCAGGTGAGCGTGAGCTTGCAGGGGCGGAGTTTAGGAGCACTACATGATTATTAAAGTTAGTCTTTCCGCCTGGAAGTGTGAGACAGGTGCGTCTGTGTTTATTAGAGTGAGACAGAGCTGCTGTAGACAGACAGACAGACGGATGGGTATTGAGACGTTTCCAGCTCCACTGAGCACATTTCACACCCGCTGAAAGGTGATGACAGTCCACAGCGTAACACACAGGGCCAGTGTGTGTGTGTGTGTGTGTGTGTGTGTGTGTGTGAGTGTGCG